TTCTTTTTTCTTTTTTCTTTTAAATCTTAAAAAATACAAAAATACAAAAAATATTCCTTTTTCTTTAATTTTAATTCTTCATTAGTTCTAATTAATTAATTCATTAACTTTAAATACTTTTGCAAAAGGGTCCAACGCCCTAGTTTTGTTTTTTTTTAATTTCTTTATTTCGCACATTTATTTTATATCGTTTAAATAATTATGTATATGCCCCAAAGCCTTGTAAATTTATTTCTCGCACTTTTATTTTATTGCTTCTTTACTTTCAGTCAAATCGGGTTCGGTTTATTTTGGCGATGTGGACCCGCGCCATTTGTAATAGTTTAGATTTATTTTCTCGCAAATTTTATAACTGTTAAATGCATGCAAGAATGAATGGCCCTAACTAAAATCGAGCGTAGATCACAACAAACATGACAAGACAAAATAATTGAAACATGACACCCGGACCGCACACACCACCCCTAGGGTACGCCTCACTGTTGCCTTTCGAAAGGTGGTCGTCGAGTAGAGGACGTCTTAGTAAGTCCTCATGATCCGGGAACCTGGCATGAGGGTAGCTTCTAAGGTGTCTTCCCATTGCTCTGGTGATCACCACGTCCCTAAAACTCGAATTGACCCGAACACCTCCAACGGTGGTGCTACCTACCTCTCAATGGTGGGACGGCACTACTTTAAAGGACATTTACACAGACGAATTCCTTAGGGTAGGTAGGTTCTCGTAGATACTTGCTCTCTTCAAAACAAATCAAACTCTTTTCACACCAACACTTTTCAAAAAGCTTTCAAAACAAACTTTTCAAACACTCTGACGTACGAGTCAATCTGAAATTTTTCAAAGAAACTTTTTAAAACCCACAATTGAAAAGCAAGCAACCATTTTTGAAAACACATTGAGCAAGTATCTAAGAGCCCATGGATAACCATGGATAGAAAGGGTGCTAACACCTTCCCTTTCTATAATCTACCTCCCGAACCGAGAGCAATCTCTTTTAAGGAATTTTTCTGTGCTTTTGTCCTTTCCATTTGGAGAAAATAAAAGACGGTGGCGACTCTTGCTTCCGCGACATTTCGCGAACCAGCTTTAAAACAGTCAGTTCCAGATCCACCGATCACACTTGCTTTCCATATATTGCTAGTAAATAAGTGTGTATGGCAAGATAAAAACAACAAAATAGGCCACCCTAATCAAAGACTAAATGCATGCAAATCAAACACATTATTCACACATGCACCTCTAGGGTAATCTCACTTGTTGCCTATCGGAAAATAGTCATGTCCCTCGAGCATGGGCGTTTTGGTAAAGACCCTCGATAAAAGATCGTAGTCCCTTGATGACCCTCGATGTTGCCTTTGATAAACAATCTAGTCCCTAAAACGACATTGCTAAAACGTCCCATATGTTTCCTTCTATGACTATACAAACGTTCCAATGTCCGTCCCTTTACATCCAACGATGGGGCTTCTTATCAAATCAATGGTAAGATAGCAACATCTAAAGGAGGAGGAAAAGCACATTTAAGACCTTTCGAGTAGGTAGGTTCGCTCTCAGTTACTCGCTTCCTCACGACAAAAACATTTTATACACCCACACTCTCACCTTTGAACTATTTTCGAAACAAACACTTTGTAGGCGTTCTTATAGAAACAAGAACCATTACGAAGTTCCATTTTAAAAATACTTTCAAAAACATATCTCACAAACACACTTTTGAACTATTTTCGAAACAAACACTTTTTAGGAGTTCTCATAGAAACGAGAACCATTATGAAGTTCCATTTTCAAAATACTTTAAAAAATCACCACCACAAGCACACATTCAAACAAAAGCAAGTGATCTAGCAAGTAACTAAGATCCCATGGAAAAGCATGGATTAAAAGGGTGCTAATACCTTCCCTTTTCATAATCTACCCCCCGAACTCAAAAACATCTCAAAAGGTCTTTCCTGTGCTTTTTCACCTTTCCTTTTGGATAAAAGAAAAGTCGGTGGCGACTCTTGCTAATCGCAACATTTGCAAACACAAACGCAAAACCTTCAAGTCAGTTCCCCCACCGTATCACAACTTATATTATCACAATGAAGCATAGTAGCAGAATATTGTGTAATACCCATATCATTTAACAACCATCGTAACCAAAGTTACTCGGCCGTAGCATCAGCAAGAGCGCGATATTCAGATTTTGTGCTTGGTCGGGAAACAATTGTTTGCTTTTGCTACGCCAGGAAAGAAGAGAATTTCCTAAGAAGAAATAATACCCTGTTGTTGAGCGACGATCAGTAGGGTCACCTGCCCAATCTGCATCAGAGTATCCAGATAGGACCAAGGATGAATTAGCAGAGAAGCGTAAACCATGAAAAATTGTACCTTTAACATAGAGAATGATACGTAGAACTGTAGAGAAATGAGATGATCGAGGGGCAGCCATAAATTGACTGACTTTATGAATAACATATGCAATATCAGTGCGAGTGACAGTTAGGTAAACAAGACTACCAACAAGTTGTCGATACAAGGTGGCATCTTCAATAGGTGTGCCGTCAAGTGGTGTGAGTTTGGAGTTGACTTCCAATGGTGTCAATTCAGTCTTGCAGTCTGTGACGCCTGCTCGAGAAAGCAGGTTAGAAGCATACTTGGCCTGGGAAAGATAATAGCCTTCCGAGTCTTAGGAAACTTCAAGCCCCAAAAAATAACTAAGGGAACCAAGGTCTTTCATTTCTAAATGTTGACTGAGATATTGTTGTAAAGCTGAGATGCCAGTCTTGTCATCTCCGGTTATGATCATATCATCTACATAAAGAAGAAGAATTATAATACCACTATCACTTCGTTGAGTGAATAGAGCAGAATCATGTGGACTAGAGAGAAAACCAAACTGTGTTAGAGTAGAACTGAACTTGGCAAACCAGGCTCTAGGAGCTTGTTTAACCCATATAAGGCTTTCTGAAGTTTACAGACCTTATGAGGATAATGATATCCTGGAGGAGGGTGCATATATACTTCCTCTATCAATTCACCATGAAGGAAGGCATTTTTGACATCCATCTGAAAAAGCTTCCATTTACGAACTGCAGCAATGGCCAGGAGGCTACGAACAGATGTTATTCGAGTTACCGGAAAAAATGTCTCTTCATAGTCTATACCATACTCTTGAGTGTAACCTTTGGCTACTAGGCGAGCTTTATAACGTTCTACAGTTCCATCAGAGCGAGTTTTAATTTTGTAGATCCATTTGCATCCAATAGGAATCTTTTCCGCAGGAAGATCAACTAATTCCCAAGTATTTGTCTTTTCTAAAGCTTGAATTTCTTCAGCCATAGCTTGCTGCCAAATGGGGTTAGTACTTGCCTCTAGATAATAACAAGGCTCATGAATAGTTTTAATAGCAGGGTAGCAATGGTAATCATTAAGATGAGTAGGTGGATTACTTACTCGGGTGGAATGGCGAGATGCAGGTACAATATCAACATCTGAAACAAGGTTCAGTAGGAGCAGGTGAGGGCGGACGAGTATTGAGCTCAACATCTGGAACAAGTTCATTAGGAGCAGGTGAGGGAAGAGGAGTATTGAGTTTATTAGAGTTATTTGCATTAGAACTTGGAAACAACTCAACTGAGGGATCAGTGAAATAAAATGAGTCGGTGTCAAGAGAATGATGAAATGTAGAAAGAGAGGAGAACATGGTGTTTTCCCAAAAGGTAACATGACGTGAGATGCGTAATCTGTTAGAGATTGGATCCCAACAGCGATATCCTTTGTGTTCTGTGCCATAGCCAAGAAAGCAACACAAGCGAGCACATGGTTATAATTTTGTGTGCTCATGAGGCTGCAAGAGAACAAAACAAGCACATCCAAAAGGTTTAAGAATGGAATATTCAGGAGACTTACCAAATAGTTTTTCAAAAGGAGATAAGTTTTGAAGATTTATGGTGGGAAGTCGATTAATTATATAGACAACATTAAGAGTTGCTTCCCCCAAAACTTCTCTGAACACAAGGCTGAGAGGAGAAGAGCACGAACTGAGTCAAGGATGTGACGGTGTTTTCGTTAAGCCCGACCATTTTATTGGGAGGTGTGAGGGCATGAACGTTGAACCACGGTGCCTTGCTGATTGAGAAACTGAAGCAAGGAAGATTCACGGTATTCCATCGCATTGTCTGTGCGAAGAATCTTAGTAGCACAAGAAAATTGTGTTTTAACCATACGAGCAAAGGAAATATAAATTTGAGGTAATTCAGAGAGATTTTTCAAAAAATATATCCATGTAAAATGAGAAAAATCGTCAATAAACAATACAAAATAACGATGACCATTTATTGAAGAAACAGGAGAAGGCCCCCAAATATCAGAATGAACAAATCAAAAGGACTATCTGAACTAGAAAAACTACGATTGAATGATAATGCAGGCTGTTTGGCAAGTTTACAATGTAAACAATAAAAAGGCTCAACCTTTGTGGATCCTAATAACCCACGAGATATTAGAGGTTGAATTTTGCTTGCTGAGGCGTGACCAAGACGAAGATGCCATTGATGAATTGGAGAATTTATAGTAGTAGCAGAAATATGATCTTTAGGAAGGTGAAGAGATCGTAGCTCAAATAGCCGACCCACCCTGCGACCCGTCCCAATGATCTGCTTCGTTTGCGGATCCTGTACCTGAACACCAGAGGGAGAAAAATAAACATTCAGTCATTGTTCACACAATTGACCAATGGAAATAAGATTAAGGTTCAAGTTAGGAATGTAATATGTGTCAGGAAGGGTGAGATTTAAGGTGGATACATGACTGGTATGAGTGATGTTCATTGTATTGCCACTGGCTGTGTGGATTGGTGACAAAGATGAAACAAGTGTCGCAGCAGGTAATGGTTTAATATCAGTGGTCATATGATTACTACATGCAGAATCAAAAAACCAACGAGAATTACCGTGAGTAGCAGACATGGCAGTAGAGTTGTTGGAAGACATAACCTGTTTGATTAAAGCTTCAATATCACTCAAAGTGATGGTCGTCGAACCTTCAGTGGCAGCAGCAGAGATGGAGGAAGATCCAGACGTTGGAACATTCTTGGATTTGGTGAAGCCACGATTTTTTTTGGAGGTCGCGTGGGACAATGTTCAAGAATGTGACCGATACCATGGCAGTACCTACACTCTATAGTAGGACAGTTAGCAAATATATGACCAGTGCGATTGCAATTCTTACATGGATGATGCTTCGATTTTTGATGTGAGAATCGAGTAGTTGCAAGAGCAGCATCCATTTGAGGAGTTTTGTCTAGATTCCGACGCGTTTCTTCAAAAAATGATTTCTTGAATAGCAGTGTCCAATGATGGAAGTGGATTTCAATGCATCAGTGAGGCTCGTACGGCTTCATATTCGGGCCGAAGAGCCATAAGGACTTGAATGAGATGAAGGTGGTATTCACTGATTTTGGCAAGCGATATTTGATGCCAAATTGGTTGGACTTGAGCGAGAAAATCATTCACTGATTGACCAGGTTCTTGCTTGGTATTGTGAAGTGTGGTCCATAACTGATAATAATGTGCAAGGCCAGTGGTTTGATAGCGGTTTTTCAAGAAATCCCAAATTTCTTTTGCAGAATCGTAGTTATGAAACTGAATGTGAATAGACGGTACAGACGTGTTGCGCAGCCACGTGATGATCTGGTGATTTTTACTATCCCAATCTTCAAGGCGGTCCGCAAATTTTGCAGCAGATTCATCTTTGTCTTGAGTTGGCTTGATGACATCTCCGGTGACTATGCGCCAAAGCTTGCGTCCGATCAGAAAACTCTTCATTCCTTGGACCCATAGATTGTAGTTTGGTCCGGTCAAGGTGGTTGTAATGGGTTTAAAAATATAAGTTTTCTCCATAATGCAGAGATGAACAGATGAACAGGATAATGGAGAACTGAAGATGTTGCAGAAAGCAGAGGAAAAAAAATGGGGATCCATGACCTATGCTCTGATACCATATTAGCAGAATAGCAGAAAATGGAATTGGAAAATTCTGTATTCCATATTTCGTGTCTTTACAAGGATACAATTATTGAGATATATACAATTCAGCATTAGCTTATTTAGGTATGTAAATCTCCTATAATAACACTGTAATAATTCTATAATAAAACTGAAATCTCCTATAATTAATCCATATAAAAAATATCCCTATAATTTTTCTTAACATTTACTATACCTAATACAATTTTAATTTAATTAAGCAACTTTTAACAAGATTAATTTATTGTTATTTTAATTCCAAACTGCGTTGCTTCATGGTGCAACTATTAGCGGGAAAGAAATAACTACTCTTCAATCGTAAAAGGTTGCAGGAGCAATGGTTTGAAAAAACTTTGCCTCTAACCATTCAAAATAAAAAAGAAATTTGCCTCTTGTTTCGGTGATGACGTTTCCTTATTTAAAATTTAACTTTTTTTTTAATTGAAATCATAAAATTGTGATTATAATAAAAGAGAATTTTTTTCAATTAACAAAAAATTATGATTAAAAATTATATGCTATATTAATTTCTCTATAAATTAATATTTATATTTAATCATTTTTTACTCACTAGTTAAAGTCTAATTCTTTTTAATATAAAATAACACACATATATATATATATATATATATATATATATATATATATATATATATATATATATATATATATATATATATATATATATATATATATATATATATATATATATATATATATATATATATATATATATATATATATATATATATATATATATATATATATATATATATATATATATATTAAAAATAAATAAATTGAGAATAACACCAATAATATTTACATATTTAAAAAGTAATTAAAAAAATAAACAAAAGAGTCAAAGCACTTGAATCTCTTCGAATCAAAGATGATAGTTTCTCTGTCTATAGTATATTAAAAAAAATAGAAAAATACAAAGAATAATATTTTATTATAATATTCTTAATTATATATTAAAAATAATAAAAATTTAATTAATTAAAAGATAAAATAGAAAAAATATATTAAAATTAAAAATGAAATATTTATTTTACAATATTATTTTATTTTAAATGAATTATTTATTAAGTGACAAATAGAATAATAGTAAGATAGTGAAACATCAAAAAAAACCTTCCCAACTAAGTCACAATTCCTAATCAGAAAATAAATCTTTAACAATTATTGATGATTCGAGCGCAGTTTATCTACCGTTCTAAACCACACAAAAATAAAGGAAGTTATAAAAAGATATTCTTTATGTATTATATTATTTATTACAATTAATTATTTTATATATATTAAAAAATTATAATAAATAAAAGAGAAAATAATATTTATTTATCACAACTAAATATAAAATTATATCGATAATTTAAAATAACAAATATTTTGAAACATATTTTTTTTCTAAATACTGTTATTTATTTTAAACGGAGGGAATATCATTTTCAAGATCATAAGATCATCATAAGGTAGCTTTGTTCACTAATTCCTTAATGGTAAATGTCAAACCTAGCTAAAATGTTACACTTATTGTTGGAATTCAATAACAATTAATATAATATTTTAGTGTAGAATAAAATAATAAATGAGCAGTCTAAGATTAAAGAATCTATCTAAATAGATTCAAGAAGAAAGTTCTCTAAATAGAGATAATACTAATCCTAAAATGCAAAAGTATAATAAAAAGTGATTAATACTTTTTAATTTGTAGATCTTTCTCATATTTTTAATGTATTAAATACTCTTAACATAAGAAGAAGAGATAATAGATTTGTTATATGATATTATAGAGCATGGCCTATATAGAAGATGATGGGTAATTAAAGTTCTTATTATTTTGAAATGAGTAATCTTAACATTTACTTATATTTGCGTTTATATATAATTAATTAATTATTAAATAAAAATATAATTAAAAATATAATTAGGTTTTTTAACTTTATTTGATTACTTAATCGATAAAAATTCTTAATTTCATAAATAATTAATATAATTAATATAAATATATATGTCTAAATAATAATTATTGAAATGTAATAATTAAATAATATTTAAATATAAAAAAAATATTTCGACAATCTTTCACTTGAACAATATATCTTAATAATTATATCATAGATCTTTGGCATTCATCTGAACGGTATTAATTTTTAGATTTTAACTTTACAATTTGGGTAGCCTCATACATTAATAATAGGACTACCATTACTCTCATCAATGATGTATGACGTGATGGAACCCCGACGAGTACTACATCAATGTACTTAGTGACATATATTGATATGGATGAGTAACATCAAAATTTCATGTAATGTTATCTCTAAATCATGCATATTTCTATCTGGTCCAACAAAAATCTTTATTGAGATCAAATCGAAGTTTTCAAATTCCATATTTGCACGAATGAATATACATAAATGGTTATAACGATAATAACCTCGTAAACTTTATTTATGCATATAATTGTTGCGTTAGCAACAAAAGTAAGTTTTACAATTATCTTATATATACCGGTAATTTTAAAGACAATTTAACAGTTTTTTATCTATAAATGAAGAAAGTAAAGTTGGAGATTTCAGTGTAAATAATAAAAATGTTTATCGGGGGTAGATTTCACATTACTTATATATCATACACATCCATATGTCAGTAATATACTCATCTACTCAACTTATAATACTACCAATGGTTACCCTACTCCAATACTTACATGTATTTCACATGCCCTTAACCTGCTTTGCTCGCCTAACACACCACACCTTCGACTAATGTGCTAACCCTTGATTCACCATGAATTACTTGCATATGGTCATGCCATCTGGCCTTGTTTGCGCCTAGCGCGCCTATTGCTTAGGTCAAGCGAGTTTTGATTTTTCAGGGTTTGGCATTTTCCTGTTTTCTACATGCTGAAGCATGATTTTCCAATTCGTTTCACCTATTTTTGATTAATGCATACAAGAAAAGTCCAACCTAGTGTTATCTCACTTTTCATATATTATTCTAGGGTTTTTGTAAAAATTGCTTATGAAATAAGTCAATAAGTGTCGACGTATTTAACGTAAACCCGACACTTATCAATTTTCCACAACTTACCTTTATTTTGTCCTCAAACAAAATTATCAGATGATTTTAAAAAAATTGTATGTTTCTTTTGACTTGCTAACTGACTTTGGGTCAAGAGTTTTGAAATTGTATTTATGGAATGGTGTTCTTTATCAAATGCAAGTTCATAATCAATATCATGACTATCCATGAACCATATCGTAGTGATGAATAATTTGCTTGATCAAAGTAATATTTTTAGAACATGTCAAAATTAACATTTCATCATTCATCAGAAACATGACCTCACTGAGTATCTCTCAATTGTTAGTGTTTCCCTAAAAAATTTAGACAATACATACACTATAGTAATACTTTGTATGTTTCCACTCTCTTACAAATCATATTTTCCCGTTTTTTCTTTTTGTATGTTTGACTTTTAATTTTTAACTTTTGTTTTTTTCAAAATATTTTTTTCTCTTTCCATGCACAAGTACTATTTGAGTTTTTCTTTGAAAATTTCCCCTTTTTCATTTTCTCGCAAACTTTTGTTTTAACAATACCCTTGATTTTCGCTTGCTCTACTATCCTTAAGAAAAGGTAGTGGACATTGTTTTTCTTTTCAAATTTGGCCAAGGGTTGTAAATTTGAAAGAATAAAATAATTTTTCATTGTACGACTCAAAAGGGGCTTGTCAAATTATTCTCACCTTCACAAGGTATACTTTTCAGATCTAGCAGCTTTTTCACGCCATATAAAAAATGTCTTGATCATATTCATGACTTTTAGATATATCAAGTAATTTGCAATACTAATTCAAAGTCTACTTAGTTATTATACATGTTTATTCTCATTATTAAAGTAAAAATAAGGTTGCACACTTCTTATCTAGGTAGGCTTAAAAATTTGTGACTTATGTCAACATATTTTTTCTAGACAGTAGAAAAAGCAAACTTTGAATAAAGTAAATAATTCATTATCATGCTATTTTCACAAATAGTTAGCCATTAATTATAAATTAAGCATTTAAAGTGAACAAAACCGTATTTATGTTATTTGATCTCTGGCCTTTTTTAGTCAACCTATAATTGGTGGTTCCATGCAATTTTTAACATTTTAGAATATTATATGAACCATCTGCAGACAAACTTCTTTTGGGAGTATTTTAAAAAAAAAAATCAATATTTTTTCCCAGAAAAATTGACACTTT